AGCAATAAAAAGTCAGAAAATGGATAAAGCACCCGGCCCCGACAGGATCACAAATGAACTTATGAGAGGGACAATCACAGAACTAAGTCCGCTTCTAAGAAAAATCTTTAACGAGATTCTATATACTGGTAACATCCCTAGTCAATGGGCAGAATCTCATATAATACTTCTCCACAAGAAAGGTCCTAAAGACGATATAGGAAACTACAGACCCATTTCTCTCATCTCAAATGTATATAAAGTTTTCGCCAAAGTCATTTTGGACAGAATCTCAATCAAACTCGACGAAAATCAACCTGTGGAACAAGCGGGGTTCAGGAAAGATTTCAGTACAATAGACCATATTCACACTATCAAACAGCTTATAGAAAAATATAATGAATATAGAAGAACAATTTACATTGCCTTTATAGACTACGCCAAGGCTTTCGACAGCCTTAGACATGAAGTTGTATGGCAAAGCCTAAAAGAGCAGGGCATCCAAAACACCTACATCAAGATCATCAAAAGTATTTATAGCGTTAGTACAGGCAGGATAAGACTGGAATCTATAGGAGATGCTTTTCAAATAAAAAGAGGTGTCAGGCAAGGTGACCCACTTTCACCAAAGCTGTTTACAGCAGTATTAGAACAAATGTTCAGGAAGTTGAATTGGGAGCATCTAGGTCTAAACATAAATGGATCACGATTAAATCATCTCAGATTTGCTGATGATCTGGTCCTATTGGAAGAAGATCCAAAACTACTGGAGTCCATGATACAAAACCTGGCAGGAAAAAGCAGAGAATTAGGCCTAGAAATGAACTCCAGCAAAACTAAGCTGATGACAAATTCAATTCCCGTAGACATAACAATTAAAGGACAGAAACTGGAATATGTAGAAGAATATGTATATCTTGGCCAGATAATATCGCCTAACGACCAGATGTCGAAAGAAATAGAAAAAAGGATTGCAACAGGATGGAAAACCTACTGGGCTTTGAAAGAAATTACAAAAAGCAAAGAAATAGGCATTAAAATCAAGAAGAAGACCTTTGATACATGTATTTTACCCTGCATTACATATGGCTGCGAAACCTGGGCTCTGACAAAACATCATAGGGATAAACTTGCAAGATGTCAAAGAAGTATGGAAAGAAGCATGATAGGTTTAAAACTAAAAGACAAAGTAAGAAGTACAGACATCAGGCACAAAACAAAACTAACTGATATCCTGGCTCGTATTGACCAACTTAAATGGAGGTGGACTGGACATATGCTCAGGTGTAAAAAGGAGAAATGGAGCAAACAGGTGACAATCTGGTACCCAAGAGATGGCATTAGGAGTCGAGGTCGCAAAAAGAGAAGATGGGAGGATGACCTGAAAATGACTTTGGGTCCGCTCTGGACAAGAGTGGCGGCAGACAGACATCAGTGGAAAGAGTTGGAGGAGGCCTTTGCCGTAAGGCACACCGAACTGAGAGACCTTTTATAATATGTTGTGCGTTACGTTTTTAACCAGCTGTTAATCTATTTATTTAAGTAAAATTTATGTTTGTAAATGAAAAAAACTGTCAAAGTTCGGAAATAAAGGTTTTATTATTATTATATACTGTGAGAGCGTGGTCCCTCCCCGGTCGAGCTGACCCATTCATGCTGCAACTATACTACTAAAAAGCGGCCAAGTGCATGTTTTACATATTTCTAGACAGTAAATGAGTTTAAAAGAATAATTTCGATGTATTTGAAATTAATTTTATCCAACGGCAACAATATCAAATCGTAGACGTACAATATTTAGAGAATTAAAAAATTAGCTCCGCGCGCACGAGTGTCAACGACGTCTGCCCTCACGTGTCTGCCCCATAGGCCATAAATAAATAGATATGTTGCAAGCTAGTCTGCCCGGTCGGTTACGGCGCCTCTACACGTTGGCCAACACAGTGGCGAATGTAGCATTGCCAACGTGTAGACGGGGTGTTTGGACTTCATTGGTATGTATTGGAACGATGGCCCGTATCCCAAGTTGGCGCGAGATCCGTGTGGTGTCGGTTTTTTACAAAAGATCAAAGGATTGTTGGCAGAGTTTGGTCGCCGCGTCCACACGTTGGCCGCGCGTTTAGTTTGCTACAAGCTCCCAGAGTGATTACACGCATCTGATTTAAATTTTATATTCAAGCTTTGTAGGGTGGATGCCCCAATTACCAGCCTTTTAGTGCCAATTTCAACTTTAAACATTCCTACTACTTTAATTAGCGCGATTTAATTATTATTAAATATTTGTTTTAATCAATAAGCTAATTATCAAAAAAATTAACGTTTTTTTTACAATCAGATTATTACGAGAACAATTTTAAAATGAAAAAAAAAGGAAGCACGTCGTTTATACGTGGTAGAACTATGCAATTATATTAGAAGTATAGTTGCAGCACGAAGGTCGGCTCGACCGGGGAAGGATCACGCTCTCACAGAATATCAGCGTAAAATAGTAGCTTAATGATGCTGTGTTTCGTATAGTGAGTGTAGAGAACCAGAGACCCTTTTTAAAGGAAACGAGGCATTTCATCTTAGTCCCCACGGGTGACAACGCATCTGTATTTTGATTCGTAATCGAGGATAGGTGTAGATGTCTGTGGGCCACAGTTACCACTTACCATCAGGTGAACTGTGTGCTCGTTTGTCACCCTATCCTATAAAAAAACGTCGATTTCTTATAATTTAATAGTGCAAGATTTCGAATCATCATCATCATCATTACAGCTGTTCACAAGTCCACTACTGAACATCCTCCTCTACAGACTGCCGCAAAGCATGGTCCTGAGCCACTTTGCTCATAATGAGTTTTTCATTTATGTTCTAAGTTATAATTAGTATCTATTATTAAGGGGAAATATAACCTCAAATGGCTTAGCAAGATCCTCCGTTATGCCGAAAGTATTGAGGCATTAATTTTGAAATAAATATATGGTAAAGTTGAGGATTAATGTTAAGGTTTATGTTAGACGAAAACACGATTCCGTAAAATTTTCTCGATAGAAAAAAAATCCAAAATTACCTCCAAACTGAACAATAAACCGCTGTTATTCATAAAATACTTTAAATAAGATCATGAAACTTTGCATACTAACTGAACTAACCATAAAGCAGTGCTTATGTTATTTACTTTTTTTTAAATATCATTATTTTCACTGTAAAAAAGAAATTACCTAAACTATCGGCGCGTAAGCTTGGTTCCTGTCGCTCCGCAGGCAGAAAATTTTACGGAATCGTGTTTTCGTCTAACATAAACCTTAACATTAATCCTCAACTTTACCATATATTTATTTCAAAATTAATGCTGCAATACTTTCGGCATAACGGAGGATCTTGCTAAGCCATTTGAGGTTATATTTCCCCTTAAGTCAGTGTTAATTATATTTATTGCTATTGTTTTTGTCTTTCTCAAAAAATAATTAAATTACCAAATAAATTATAAGGTGTTTTTTATATACATCAAATGTCTGATAGAAATGCAAGTACATATTTTGCTAAACTTTAAAATCAAAACACAATTTTAAAACATAGACTAATCGATTATAACTCCTTTAACTTTAAAATAAGTTAAGTTCTAATTAATGGTATTTATTCCAGTTTCTGATGCATGTAAAGAATAAATAAAGCTAATCGTATATCGTATATCTATTTACAGCCCCATTAATATGCACTATTATTTTATAATTCTTTTATAAAAACGTTAACCCCACACTAGGATTTTCTCCCGTATCGCGTAGGCAGTTTACAAACATAAATTGCACAAGGACACACATTCAGACCCGAAACAATTATTTGTAGGATATACAAATACTTGTTCCGCACTGTATCAAACCCGCGGCGCCCGGCGCAGCCACTCATTGCTGAGCCACTGCGCCATGGTGCTTATAAATTCGTCCGCACATTGGACCGAACCGAAGTAAACTGAACGACTTCCAACTCCGACTTCCAACGTGTGGACGCCGTCACCAACTCTCGGCCAATATATTCGCCACTCCATTCGCCACTGTGTTGGCCAACGTGTAGAGGCGACATTGGGCGCATCCACCCCAAAGCGCGCTCCGCACCCGCTGCCGATCAAGCCACGCCCCGAGCGAGTTATAATTATTATTTACTTAGACACCTTTTACAGATTTATTATTAGAAAATAATAGTTCATGGTTTGTGCATAAGGTTTATGTTTATGAAATTAAATGTTATTTTATTTTATTTTTATATTTGAGTTGATTGAATGAAAGGTAAATTGCGGTTAATGGCGTATTAAAAAAACTACTTACTAGATTTCGTTCAAACCAATTTTCGGTGGAAGTTTACATGGTAATACATCATATATTTTTTTTTTAGTTTTATCATTCTCCTATTTAAGAAGTTACAAGAGGACACATTTTACCACTTTGGAAGTCTCTCTTGCGCAAACTATTCATTTTAGAAAAAAATGATATTAGAAACCTCAATATCATTTTTGAACACCTATCCATAGGATACGCCACACGTATAGATTTGATGAAAAAACATTTTTGAGTTACAGTTCTAAGTATGGAGAACCCCCAAAATTTAATGTTTTTTTTTCTATTTTTGTGTGAAAATCTTAATGCGAGTCACAGAATACGTCCACTTACCAAGTTTCAACTGCATAGTTCTTATATTTTTAGAAAAAAGTAACTGTGACATACGGACGGACAGACAGACAGACATGACGGATCCATAAGGGTTCCGTTTTTTGCTATTTGGCTACGCAACCCTAAAAAGTGCCCCCAAAGATACACGAGAAAATCCAAATGTAGAGGTAACGTTTAAAAAAAAATATGAACATAAACCATTCTCGAATCAACTTAATCACACACAAAATTCATCAAATTCAGTCCAGCCGGTTCTGTCACATACCGTGTGTATGATAGATGATAGAATAATTATATATAAAAAAGATAGCAATAAATTTCTATACAAACGATAGTCACCGATTGTTGGCCAACCAGCTGAAAGCATATTACCTTCTTGTTCCCGCTCCTGGTAGCAACTTGCATTTTGATTGGTTCAAGCTTGCTTTTGATAATTTTAACAGTTCCATCAGAAAACTGCAGCTCCGTGCTGGGAGTCATTTTGTTCAAGACAGCAGTCATAAGTCCCTCCCATTTTATGGTTTCCTGGTAAGAAAACACATCTTGATTACTTCTTGACAGTCAACTGTGTAAAGACATGAGCTCAATTTTTACCAGACTCCAAAAAAAGCAAGAGGTTCGCAAAAAATATGTATGTTAGAGCTGAATCTGAGTGTCAGGGTGAGAAATTGTGTGATAAGAGAAGAGTGTGGTTTGCAAGATGATATTGTGACCAGGATTAAGGAATAAATGCTTCGGTGGTTTGGTCATGTAAAAAGAATGAATAAGGAAAGAGTGATAAAGCAAATTTATGTTGTAGAAGTGAACGGCAGAGTCGGAATGGGACGTCCTAGGCAAAAGTTTATCGACCAAATTGGCGATATATTGAAAATGGGCCAAATTAGAAGTACCCTTAACCGGCGAGCATGTATGCGTAGGTATATGAATGTGGAGGAGGCGAGAGGTGTGTCAGGATCGTGCCAGATGGAAGTCTGTAGTCTCTGCCTACTCTTCTGGGTGAAAGGCATGAGTGTTGAAGATACATAAAAGGAAAATAACATAACATATGCTATTTTCCTTTTATGTATCTTCATCAATTGTGAACTGATTTTGATAATAATTCCCTTTTTAATATATTGACTATACCTTAAGAACTGTCCGATATAATTTAAAGCAAAAATTCCATCCCTAAGGATGAAAAATACACCATGAATGAACTTTATACACTGACCTCATTATATACAAGTACGCTGGACTGGCTATACACCGTGACATGTCGCGCTGACAGCAGAAGTGCACGTGTGGCCGTGGTAGGAAAAGGGGAGATCTCCCGCCGAGCAAGGTGTTCTGCCCGGGGAGCGGCCAACACTCCGAGTGATAGTTCGGAGATGTTCTATATATACTGTTTCTGATTCGGAATGTTGATAGCGTGATTTAAGCTTCGGTTTATTTCGTTTGTGGCGCGACGACAGCGCCGCTACATCACCCCCTGCTCAGACCGGAGGTCGATAGTGCAGCCTCGTTGCCGACGAATGTGCAAGTGCCAGGAGATTGCCTTGTAGTCTGCGGTGAGTCGAGAAGAAGGCAAGTAATCTGCGAGAGTGCCGTGAAGCAGAGGCGAGCAGTAAGGCTCAGAGCCGTGCCGAACACTGTATAGCGCAGAGAGTAGCTTGAAGGAACAGGAAGCATTATTATTCCAGTGCTGCGATGAACCTTGTGAAGCTAGATGGCTTGCAGGATATGAAGACTGCAGTTTATATCTGCTCGGGAGCGAATGGGTGGGGTATTCTATGACGATGATGAAGCTTGAAGTTTCCGAAGGTGGTTTGGTTGCGTGTTCATATCACGTCGGTTAGTCACCACTGTGGCCGTGGTAGGAAAAGGGGAGATCTCCCGCCGAGCAAGGTGTTCTGCCCGGGGAGCGGCCAACACTCCGAGTGATAGTTCGGAGATGTTCTATATATACTGTTTCTGATTCGGAATGTTGATAGCGTGATTTAGGCTTCGGTTTATTTCGCTTGTGGCGCGACGACAGCGCCGCTACACACGTCCACGGAACTAAAAATAGGGATAAGACAGTGTACCAAAGTATATCGATAAAAATTCTATACCTTACCTATACCTAAATAAATAGAATTGACTCTGTGGATAAATGGACTCTACCCGTAACGTCCATTCTATCTATGTATCATATTAATATAATGCCACTATCATTCATCATCATTACAGCCCTTCACAAGCCCACTGCTGAACATAGGCCTCTCCCAAGGAATGCCACAAAGCACGGTCCTGAGCCACCTGCATCCATCGACTTCCTGCATGTCTTACGATTTTTTAACTCCATCTAGTGGGGGAACGTCCTACACTTCACCTGCCGGTACGAGGCTGCCACTCGAGAACATTTTTTCTCCATCGGTATTCAGTTCTTCGAGCTATATGGCCAGGCAGGCAGTGCCAGTTGTAATTTAACAAAGGCCTTTTGTGTTTGGGCATACGCCATGTTCAAACAACAATAATTCTTAAAGTAATAAACATACAGCTGTAAACTTTATGTTGCATTGTAGCTTAACTCAAAATCTGTCGATCTAGTATAAAAATAAGAAGGGTAAACGGGGTTGTTTTTGCAGTAATTTACAATAATTTGCCGATTAGCATATTTTTTTGATATTTATTTGAAGTTAAATTTTTTTTCTTCAAAGTTACAAGTATGTCAACAAAAATTTTGATAATGTAAACGATAAACAATATTATTGGCCTCCGAATGAGTTAATTTTTATCTCAGTAAGACTAAAACTTTCAGAGATATGACTTTTTTCATAAACGCGTAGAGAATATCTCAAGAGAAAAACAAAATGGCTGCCAAATAGAGGAGGGAGGGGATTAGACCTCAGTGTGTAGCGTATTTTTATATTAAAATAGCTGCATTATAAGTACCTAAAATATCGCTAGTCCGTGACCGGACACACTGTATATATATTCCATAAAATCGTCACTGCGGCAGTCACGACTGTCTGCATGCCGAGCGCATGGCGAGATCAAGGCGCGTAGGCATAGCTCTCGCTTCGTCCGTTTGTATGGTACAATTAACTGACACTAGGTGGCGTGCGTATTATACCGACTATTTATTTGAAAGTTATAGACAGTTATATATCATTCTAATTCAATGATTGTATTATCATTCCTAATTATACAATATAACCGTTCCACATTTTTAACGATATTTCCGCAATTATTTCTTCTGCGGCAGCAATGCGCCGGGTACGAGCTAGCAAGATAATATAAAAAAATTACATAGTTATCAGTAATTTACAACGTCATTTTCGAAATTGAAATTACAATATTAAAAAAATAACTGAAATTATCTTAAAGTCCTACTTTCTGTGGTATCGTCCTAAGAATGCTGGCTACGTGTCCTCACTGAATGGTTATACTTAGCCTTCAAGCAAGGAAACAACAAACTAAACAACTTTTTATTAGCAGCAGCGATAATCAGTCGTAGATACAGTTTTTTAGTTACTACACCGCACATGCACTCTTTTTTTTATAGAAGAGGCGGCAAACGAGCATGCGGCTCACCTGATGTTAAGTGACTACCGCCGCCCATGATCACCGCAACACCAGGGGAATCGCAGGTGCGTTGCCGGCCCTTTAGAAAGGAGTAAGCTCTTTTCTTGAAGGTCCCCAGGTCGTATCGGTCCGGTCGGTAAAAATCGCTGGTGGTAAACCATACCACAGCGAGGTTGTACGCGGAAGAAAACTCCTTTTGAAATGTACAGTGGTGGACCGCCAAGCATCCAGATGGTGTGGATGGTATCAGGACGTTTGCCGCGTAGTGCGTTCACGAAATTTGGCGGCTGGGATTAATCCGAACAATTCCTCAGAGCACTCTCCATGGTATATGCGAAAGAAAATGCAAAGAGATGCAACATCTCTTCGCAGTGCCAGTGAATCGAGCCTATCGGAAAGCACTCGGTCGTTGACGATTCGAGCCGCTCTACGCTGGATGCGGTCAATTGGAAGGAGCTGGTACTGGGGAGCCCCAGCCCAGAGATGGGAACAGTATTTCATGTGCGGCCGAACCTGCGCCTTGTAAAGTTGAAGGCGGTGTGCCGGCATGAAATACTGTCCCGCTCTGCTGAGCACGCCAAGCTTTTTAGAGGCCAATTTGGCCTTCTCTTCCAAGTGACCACGAAACTGCACGTCACTCGTTATGTCGACGTCGAGGATTCCGATACTGGCTGAGGCAACAAGGGGAGTGCCTTGAAACTGAGGAGATACGACAAAGGGGTTCTTTTTAGCGGTTAACGCGCAAACTTGTGTCTTCTGGGGGTTAAATTGGACTAGATTTAGTCGCCCCCAATCCGAGACTCTGTTCAGCAAAGACTCGACTTCAGACACAAGTTTGTCCCGGCACTCGGAGACGTTTTCCCGAGAAATATTGGCCCGGCCGGTGTAAAGAGCATCACCAGTGCTGTCATCTGCATAGCAATGAATGTTACGGGTTTGCAACATATCATTGACATGCAGAAGAAACAGCGTTGGCGATAGCACGCAGCCTTGTGGAACACCAGCGTTAATAGGCTTGCAATCGGAGCTTGCACCGTCTACAACGACCTTGATGCCCGATCTGCAAGAAAGCTAGTGGTCCAATCGCAAAATTTCTCGGGAAGCCCATAGGAAGGGAGCTTCGAAAGAAGCGCTTTGTGCCAAACCCGATTGAAGGCCTTCGCAATGTCCAAACTAACGACAAATGCCTCTTCCTTGGACTCTACTGCCTCCGCCCATCTGTGAGTTAGGTAGACCAGAAGATCACCAGCTGACCGACCACGGCAAAAACCGTATTGGCGGTCACTAATCAGCTGGTGATCCTCAAGGTACCTCATGAGCTGGCAGTTTACAATGGACTCCATTGTTTTGGAGAACAAGGGGGTGATGGCGATAGGCCGGTAGTTGGACTGTTCTGAGCGGTCGCCTTTTTTAGGGATCGGGTGGACGAAAGCTGTCTTCCATGATTTTGGGACTACGCCTAGGGAGTAGGAGTACCGGAAAAGACGCGTTAAAACCGGTGCCAACTCTGGAGCACACGTCCTCAGCACAATTGGGGGGATTCCGACAGGCCCACTCGTCTTGTGGATGTCCAGGGAGAGGAGTGCTTTGCGAACCGAGCGCTGTGTGAACTGCACTTCTGGCATGGAGCACTCACACCGCGGGATGGTCGGCGGCGTACTCCCCCCGTCATCGAGGGTCGAGTTGGACGCAAAGAAAGAGCCTAGAAGATCGGCTTTCTCCTTTGCGCTATGGGCCAGTGAGTCGTCCTCCCTGTGCAGAGATGGAGAGTGGCTGACAGAAATTCCCCTGGACAACCTTGGCGAGAGACCAGAATGCACGGGTTCCAGAAGAAAGGCGAACTAGTTTCTCGCCAATTCTGCCTACGTGCTCTGACTTTGCCTTGGCAATGACTCTTTTGAAGGACCTAGAGGCGGAATTATACTTCTTTTAAT